TTTTTTTTTTTTAGAAATTTACAAACAAAACTCCGTTCTTTTTCAAAGGTGCTCACCATTTCATGTTATGGATCCTATATCCTCATGTTACCTGTTTCAGTCAACAAGTACACTTAACTTCCACAGGTGTACCCTTCCTGCACCTAGACTCACTAGTAATAGTTGATGCATCTTTCCTCCCTTGCTTGCACTCAGCAGCAACAGAAGTAATAAAAAATGAGCAAATGAGATCCTCTGGTCCATGTAACCTTTTTATCCACTTGGTCTGCCCACCATAGTATCTGATACCCACATCTTTTATTTATTTATTTTAAATTAATCTTTTTGCCCTCTTGCTTGCTTGCTTTCTTTATTTTAAATTAATCTCTTTGCCCAAGGTGGGATTTGAACTCAGGACCCAGAGATCAAGAATTGCAGGCTCCATCCACTGAGCCAGCCAGGTGCCCCATTTTTTTATTTACTTATTTATTTTTTGATAGCCACATCTTTTAATGCACCTGCCTCCTTGGGACAGCAACATCTTAAGCTGAGGAAGATGAAGGAAATTTTTAAAAAGAAGGGGAAAAAAGCCGCGAGTTTGGCCAGATGCGTTCTTTCAAGGTCCTACTTGAAGTGCGCATTTGCTCTTGGCTTTAAGGAGACGTCCGTCGGCAAGAAGGGCGTTTTTTGTCTCCAGTCCATGCAGACCCAAACTTTTTCTCTGGTCACGTGCCTGGCCCTAGCCAGTGGGCTGCAGGGTAACTCGATCACCGTGACCGGCCTCCTCAAGCCACCGGGGAGCCGCGCGGTCGGACAGCGGTGCAGTGACAGCAGCCGCCTAGGTAGGCGCCGAGGGAGAAGTGGAGTCCAGCCTGGGCTGTGGCCGGGACCTCGGAGGAGCTGGGACACGGGCCACCGCAGCGGTGAGCGGGGAGCTGCGGGGGAGGGAGCTGTTCGCCACCGTCTGGGCGCTTCCGAGTTCCCTTCAAGAAAGGCAAGAGTCCGTTCTCCTACCCTCTGCCCCCTCGCTGCCCTCCCCCACGGACAGAACAGGTGAGATTTGCCTAGGAACAATGTCCTGGTACGTCTTCTCGCTACCCAGAGTCCCCTTCATGGCCCTCGCTGATGTCTGCAGACCCTGCCTTTGTGCCATCCTCCGCAGCCTTGTTCTGCCAGCAACTGACAGTCAGTCGTGTCAGACGGACAGGGTTTGGCTTCACAACCCCATGAATAAAGGAGAAACTCTCAGGTCAGAATCGAAAGAGGAAAATCCCAACTGCAAGCAACAAATTGCTTTTCTGACCTGCCAGGATCACCTGAAGGCAGGTAGCCAATTTTAACTGTCTTAAAACAAGATCAAGGTGTGAGCTAGAAATGGACAACTGTGTGAAGGCTGTCTTGTTGCAACATAGTAAGATTTAGCAATGGTTTTAGAATTACTAGAAGCTTGGTGGTTCCCAGGAAGGATTTCCACAAAGCTTACTGGGTGAGAGGATGCAGTCAGCAAGCGATGGGGATGAATGAGCGTCGATGGGGATGAACGTTAAGGCTGGTAGTTCTCAGGGGCTCCCCCAGGCCTTCTGGGGCTTCAGGCAAGCAAGACAGGATACAGACTGTGGCTTGCTTCCGTTTCATGTGCAATTCCGACTATATTTCTCGGGTTGAGATATCACGATTCTGAATTCAATTTGATAAAACAGAAATGCTCTGAGCATCAGCCTCTGGCCTTAGAAAGGAAAGGCCTTAGTACCAGGGAAAGGTGCTGATATATTCAAAGCAAATGTTGGACACCTTCTGAGGGCAAAAAACAATGCTTTTTATTCAGTCCCCCTTCTTTCATTTATTCAACAGATACTTCCTGAGTATCTGCTCCATGGCAGGCGCGTGTCTGGTGCTGTGGCTCTCCCAGTAAACAGGCAGGCTCATCTTCACCGGCAAGCCAACAGCGTGCCAACAGGCGGGACAGGCGGTTCTTTTTGGTGCTGTAAACAGGCAGGCTTCTCTTCACAGGCAAGCCAACAGCAAGTCAACAGCTGGGACGGGCAGGCTCATTTTCACAGGCAAGCCAACAGCAAGCCAAGAGGAGGGACAAGCAGTTCTTTTTTCTTTTAATTTTATTTATTTATTGGACAGAGAGGGACACCGAGAGAGGGAACACAAGCAGGGGGAGTGGGAGAGGGAGAAGCAGGCTCCCCGCTGAGCAGGGAGCCCGATCTGGGGCTCGATCCCAGGACCCTGGGATCATGACCTGAGCCAAAGGCAGATGCTTAACAACTGAGCCACCCAGGCGCCCCGGGACAGGCAGTTCTTAAAGGGTACACAGACCTGCAGCAAAGGCAGGGAAGGGAACATTGGTAGAACCATCCTGAGTCTTTTGGCTCAGAGTTTCGCCTTTTTTCAGGCATTTCATCTTCTTGAATGAGAATCTTGTCACCTATAAAAGTCTCACTTGTACGCAGACCCTGGTCACAGCAGCTCCTCAGAATCTTCCTCACCAGAGGCTTTAAGTATGCAACTACGTTTCATCAGGTCAGTGTCCTCAGCCCTGGAGATGGCCTGCTCAGCTTTTTCCAAGACTATGAACAGCCTGAGAGCAGAGGCTGAAGTAATGGGAGTTCTTGTCTTCCTGCTGGTAGCCCTCTCCTGATGTCATTTCCCACTTATGAAAGAGAATTTGTGCTCCTCCAAACACACAGGCAGCGCCCAGTGAAGTCTCGGGAAGCCTGCATTTTCCCAGAAATTGTGTGGAGTTTGGAATAAGTCAGTTCTGCTAATTAAGGCCAATCTTCTTTGCTTATAAAACAGAAGGGGTAGATTAGATGATCAATGAGGTCTTATATGTCTTTCTTTGTCTTTTTTTTTCCTCCTCTGAAAGTAAATAATTCTAATAATTTCACAAGATGTTTACAAAGAAACAGTACACAGTCATATAAAGATGATATACCTTATACCTATAAAATGGGAACACTCATCAACCATGCAGAATATTCAGGGACCTAGAATCTGAAAGAAAATCTGAAAGAGCCACCTGGGTGGCTCAGTCCGTTAAGTGTCTGCGTTGGGCTCAGGTCATGATCCCAGGGTCCTGGGATGGAGTCCCACTTTGGGCTCCCTGCTCCGTGGGGAGCCTGCTTCTCCTTCTGCCTGCCACTCCCCCTGCTTGTGTGTGCACTCGCTCTCTCTGACAAATAAGTAAATAAAATCTTTTAAAAAAAAGAAAATCTGAAAGTCTCAGGCTGCAGACAAAACTTAAACAGTCTCTACTCCTCCCACCCTCACCCCATTCCTCTGTTCTGTATTCAGATTCTCGAGGTCATGAACATCATCTGTAGCCTCACCATATCATTTTCCTAGACTGGGGATTCTGCAATAAAAAGCTTGCATAGTCGGAATCATCTGCTTTCAAAAGAACCATACTTAAAAAGTATCTAATTTGGATAATCTCACAATATATATCAAATTCCCTTTAAAGGGGAATCAATTCATTGTTACAGAGTATTAGAATATTTACCTTTAGTGCCTTTCTTTCTTTCTCTTCCCTAAATGCATTCCCATCGTAAATGCAATTTCATATTCTCCTCCTACATACTTTCTCACTTGAAAAATCAAAGCTATATAGTTATTACTTTATTAAGTAGGGCAAGAAGCATGTCCTATCTTTGTATCCCCTATGGCTACCATGTATCTTGCATACAGTAAACATTTCTTGAAAAAATGACTAATATTTTAGAGAAAACATGTCCTGTTTTCCCTCTGGTATTAAAACACTTGCACACACACGCACACACACGCAGTATCTAATCCATTATTCATGGCTAATAGGAGCTGATCTCATTCCTTTGTGTTCCTTCACAATCCTGACGCCCACCCTGCATGCATCAACATCAGCACATTCTACACTTTTTGCGGACTCAGTTGGTATAATAAGCACTGAAATCAAGTTCTGCCACTAAATGGCTGCGTAATTTGAAGCTGAGCACTGAACCTTTCTGTGCCCCCATGTCTTTCGATGGGAAACGGTAGCATCAGAATTGAAGGGCTCTGAGATCACGTCTAGTTGTTAGATGGGAGACTTTAAAGTAAAGGAAAAGGTCAGAGAGGGAAAGGACAATAAAAATGTAATGATTATAGCACCTTAACATATTAAATATTAATAATTGCTATTGATTTTGTTTGCCAAAACTTCTAACTTGAGCACTCCCGTTGGCAATCGATGTTAAGAACTTCTGGGGTTGAAGACACAAATCCTACCATGTTTGGGGACTTTCCTAGAACCTTTCTGACAGATTCCGTCCACTTAAAACTGAAAACATGTCTGCCAGCAGGTAGAGCGGCACAGAAAACAAGCTGCTTTGGCATAAAATATTCAGCAGAATATAGGGTTGTGTAGCTTAGAGGAGTCAAACACCTAGGTAAGTATCTTGAGAGATAGTATGTGGGCGTATTAGCTTAGCCAAAGAACAAATGTTAGGAAATGCTTCATCACCTCCACTGAAATCAGAGGTGGACAGACAAGTGTTGTGACTCCTGCAGCCAAAGAGGCCTTCCCACCACCAGAAGATAAATGGTCACCTTTCCTTTGGCCAGAAGGTTTACCTGGTAGACGAGGGTTCCCAGGTCTAACTTAGATATCAGCCTCTAATCACTCAGTCCAGCGGCACTCAGTTTCCATCACATGGACATCCTGGGCATCAGCACTCTGCCTTTGTTGTTTTGTTTTGTTTTGTTTTTGTTTTAAGATTGTATTTATTTAGGGGCACCTGGGTGGCTCAGTTGGTTAAGCGACTGCCTTCGGCTCAGGTCATGATCCCAGGGTCCTGGGATTGAGCCCCACATCGGGCTGC